ACGTGTTGAAGCTCTTGCACCAACACAGCGACACTCCATTTCAACTTGAAGTGACCACCAATATCAAGGTCAACACGCGTTCACAACTGGAGGAATGTGGTGCTTCTCACATCGAATCCCCCAACGATGGGTCGGAAAGTGACTCCTCTGACCTTGAAATTGACGAGGAAGAAGATGCTTCATCACTTGCTGGACCAAGGCGCCCTGGACAATCAAGCGCATTCGTACCGGTTGGTCCAGCAGAAGATTACATCAACAGACCTGATGTCATGTGCAAGGACATCTCATGGTTTGAGTTCACGTCCAAGTTCTTCCGCGCGAATCGAGCTGATGGTACATCGTGCGATAAACTCTTCATGGAACGACATTCCCTGCACAAGTCGAAGTGTATTGGGGTACATCGCTTGGCGCGTATTCCCGTTCTAACTGATGGTGTGCGCGTGCCATTCTTTGGGGATTGTTTGAAACCCGAGGAGAGCGATTACCACGCCCAAGTTGCATTGGTACTTTTCAAACCATTTCGTGTGTTGTCGGATTTGTGCCCACACGGCTCAACATGGCATGAAGCGTGGGAATCCTTTCAACCCACGATGAGCACTGGTTCTGCGGAAGTGTACCATTTCATGCAAGACTACCATGTCGGTCGAAAAGAAGGCCGCAAAGACAAGAACGTCCAGGGAGGAAGAACAGAACAACCAAATGGAAAACGACGATGGTCGCACTGAGCCTGATGACTTCGACGACATTGACTTTGAAAACGCACTCCTGGTTGCCAGCAAGCATCCAGCAACCAGCCACTTGGACTGTGATGATGCACGTGATACCACGTCGGAATTGTATCAAGCAGTATCATCGTCGGAGATGAGCAACCAAGTCAAGTTTCCAACAACGACACCCATTGATGCGGATATCGCAGCATTGGTTGGTGGTCAGTCCCTCGACGAAGCGTCAACAACAGCATCTCCATTTTGGGTACTTGGGACCAGCGACTTCGTTGCCGTGAGCAGTTTGCGTCGGATGTCAACGGTCTAAAGACATGGATGTCGAAAAAACGCGTGGAACGAGTTGCTCACGTTCGAAAACCAATCCCGTGTTGAAGAAAGCAGCGAGGCATCGGTGGCTTGGTCTACAGATCCGCCTGGCGAGATTCCAACGCTGGTCCAAGTCAACGTTCCGGGTGCATTGGATCCATCAACGATGTTGTACACTGGCAACCTGATTGGGAGGGGCAAAGTACCTCAACCTTTGCCCGATTACGCCCACATCGGTGTTGTTTCGAGTGCTTTTGGCCTTCGTATGCGCCAACACTTTAGCTTCACATGTATTGCACGTGCTCTATTGCAGCGATGGCAACTTGAAGATAATGGAGATCACGACCCACGAAGTGTCGCCACTGCAACGAGCGCCATCCAACTATGAATGGTTCTGATACGGTGAAGCGGGTACTGGAAAGTCGCATATCATCGCTGCTGTGCAAGCGTTTTTAACTCGCGGAAGAGACCATTCGCATTGCCAAAACCGCAATGACTGGCAAGGCCGCCGTCTCAATCAACGGAGTTACGTTGCATTGCTGGATTGGTATGCACAACTTGACCCCGAGCACTGTTCACGAGGCGAAAGAAGCCGACGAGAGGCGTACCTGGCTACACGGAAGATCTCAAGCTACTCCTGGTAGACGAAATGTCCATGATGAACAAACAACAGTTGGTTCGACTCGACGAGGCACTTCGTGCACGGACGAAGCTGGACTTGCCCTTCGGTGGACTCAACATCGTTTTGGCTGGTGATTTCTTCCAAATGCCCCCTGTTGGTGGAAAACCGTTGTATACACCACTGTCTGCGTATCCGGAACAATCAAGGAAGAATCCAAGCCCAAACCCAGCGCAACAATATCTCAAGACATGCCAACCGGCCTGCTGCAAGTGGTTCATGACAACGCTGGTCCTTACGCCCAAGTTGACGCGTTGGCTTGATTTTTCAGTTGTTTCGACTTTGCCCTACATCACCGCCCGGGCAAGTTGAATGTGGTAGCTGATGCCTTGTCTCGGCCTCCACAGGCCACCTCCACCGTTCACCAGCTCTTAATCCACGCGTGTGGTATCCACTGTGCCTCAGTCGCGGCGCGCATCAATCGACTTTTTGTCCATACCTCGGCTCTCTCCACCTACACGACTCGTGACATCACCGTCATTGTCGACTCTCCTTTTTGGGGGGAGGAGTTGGGGGAGCAAAAAGGAGTGCTAGTGTCTCAACGCCTAACGGTGAACCAATCGAAGCAAGTGCCCTTTAGCACCATCGAGATGGACACCAAAACCAAGGAACATTTTATGAAGGCATACGCAAAGGACTCAGGGACAAAGTCAATGAAAGGTGAAGCCGTCAAGTGGAAGGAAGGACTCTGATTTCTGCGAAGTCAAGACCAATTTGGAAGCTCTATGTGTCCCCAACGATGACGTGCTACACGCCGAGATTTTATCTCACGCGCACGATTCAAGCACTGCCGCGCTCCCTGGAACTCGACGTACAATGCTAAGTGTAGCGCAGTGGTATTACTGGAACACTCTTGCTGAAGACATGAAGTTATACGTCGCGACTTGCGAAACATGCAGCCGATACAAGACGAGCAGTCTGCGTGCAAATGGCAAGATGATTCCCATTCCCGCGTCGGAAGAGTGTTGGCAAACTGTTTCAGCGGATTGGATCACCGGTTTACCCGTGTCAAAAGGCTATGACGTATTGGTCGTGATAGACAAGCTATCCAAGCGGCCAAAGTACATCCCTACGAGATCAGATGTTGATGCACCCCAAACGGCGAAAGAATTCTTCGAACATGTTGCTCGCCACCATGGACTACCAGCAATGATCATCAGCGACCGTGGCCCCAAATTTACAAGCACGTTTTGGAAGTCCCTCATGGAGATTATGGGTATCCACCAAGCCATGACCACCACCGGCAGAGCTCAAGCCGATGGAGCGACTGAGCGCCAGAATCGAACTCTCGAAGATGCGCTCAGATGTCAAGTGTCGCATCTAGGACAAGACTGGGTCAACCATTTGCCACCGATCGAGTATGCCCACCAATGCTTAGTCCAAGTATCAACCGGCTTGATGCCGTTCGAAGTCGACACAGGCCGCAAGTTGCATAACCCTGCCGTGAGCGGTTCCTTGCCCAAGAATGACTTTGCCAAGAATTTTGCGGAACATCGAAAGGAAGTCATTCGGATGGCTCACGAGAATTTGACGAAGGCCCAGCAGCATCAGAAGGAGTATTATGACAAGCGCCACTCGGACGTGACCTTCAAGGAAGGCGATCAAGTACTGCTAGCGGCTCGCAACCTACCTTTAAAGCATGCCCAGATACTCGACAAGTCCGAGCGTCCCAACCTGGTTCCACGATTCGTCCCAGCCATTAATGACAACGCCATGCGCCTCAAGTTGCCTCGCTCGATGTCACTGTGCATGACGTGTTTAACGTTGATCGACTTAAGCACTGTCACCCCAACAAAGCCAAGTTCGCCTTAAAGCTACTCCTGTTGTTCTAGACGAATCCACCGGCGAAGAAATGTACATTGTCGAGAAACTGCTCAAGAAGCGCCAGTTCAATCGCAAGTTGGAGTAGTCAAGTGGCATGGACAACCCGAAAGCGAAGCCACGTGGGAACTGATGAAGGACATCAAATATGTTGTGCACTTCACTCGTCCAAGACTTGGAGTCAAGGTGTTTCAAGGTATAGCGAGACGTCAGGAGAATGTAGCGATGCGACAGGTGGGGGTAACGCCTTGCCACCACCTTGCCCGCACCCAGCTCCTAAGTACCTTCCCTGGCTCATGACGCACCCTAGCTAATGCTTGCCTCGGATGTGTCTCAAGTGTATGCATGGCTTAGAATCGCTAGCCTAGTGAAGTCCCCAATATCGCAACAGCACCCGCATCCATTGTATACAAAAGCGCATATTAGTGTAGAAGTAGTGAAGTAGACTAAGAAGTTTTCATAGTGATGAGGATTAAGGACATCTTAGTAGATCCTCAGTTAATTCATTGTGCATTTTGCCGTCAACTACATACGCTTCCTTCCGCAGTGCTACAATCGGGGTCTCTGTGCTTGGTCTTACGGGCAACTTGGACCGCGTGACCACGTCAAAGCATGCCCGACGAGACTTTAAAAACATGAAAGGCGACAACAAGAAACTGGCTGAGCTTCCCGTGGCAATGCACGGCGTCATTGGGAACACCCCCATGTCGGACAACCCCACTGATCCCGACTGCGGCTTGCTTGTGGTCGCCGATTTCCTTCTCTCCAACGGCGTGCTGAACGCGATGAACTTTACCTGCATAGACAAGGTGCAGCCTCTGAATTTCGACATCCCGGACGCCTTGGCTCTCGAGCTGTTTGATCTGGACGGCGGCGCCATGGACGACAAAATACACAACCCCGCGCAAGATGCCAAGGACTACAAGTCCAAGTATACTGACGTGAAGGTGTACAAGTCCAAGTATACGCAGATGAAGGTGGGTGTGATTGTCCTCAGCTTTGCAGTCGTTGGCCTTGGTGTTTATGCGTTCCTGAAACATCGTGAAGCCAAAGCGACGCGAGGCAAGTATGCAGTCTACGAAGACGCGTGCACGAGCAACGCTTCTTGATGAGCGGGATAGTCGCGACGTTCTCGAGAGAAAGAATCCCCCCAGTGCAAGTGTATTCGTACCGGTAGCTAAGTTGTAAATGTGTACTACGTAGTATAACGTTAATTGAGTTTAATGTGTAAACCATTGTGGAGTACTGTATGTATGCATTGTGTTACCGGTACTAACGTCAGTATTAATATAACCAAGTAATAGTTATTCCAACTTTTGGAAAAGTTCTTTGATTGGGTGAATGGTAGTCACGACCACTTAATTCGTTATCATTTAAACATAAATCTTCATTTCTATTGATTAATTGTATTAACGTATATTAAAATAATTCATGACATCATGCATTTCGTCGTTTGGTAGAGGACGTATCGGCTGACGTTCGCATGTCATATGTAGTGCTTGGATATTAGGCATTTTTCGTTTTAGCAAGATGGTGACGGAAGGGCGACGATGCCTTTGCTGCGTGTCAAGGTCGTGTCTGCGAGCAAGTTGCTTGCCTTGGACAGCAACACCTTTGGTGGGGGACCTTCGTCGGATCCATGTACGTCTAGCAA